ATTTTCTCCATGACTAAAATCACAAGAGTTTTACATTTTATTTGTTAATATAAAATATCGTTTTCGGTCGTCTGACAAATCCGACCAAAACTGCCCAAGCCTTGTGTTTCTTTAATGACGCGCTCACAAATGGTAACACATGACAGCAGAAGGAATGAACACTGTGCTGTAGAAAGAAAAGCTAACCCATTATCCAAACTTTTAGAAAACTCGTTAAAAACTAATTATTATCATTGTTTCTGTTGTACACATTCTTTGCACGGGAATGGACGGAGGCAGATCGAGGCTACTTTTTACACGCGTGTACATATCGCTAAAGAGTAACCTTGCCGACAGCGCGCGTTGTCTCGCAGTCAGCAGCTTGAGAGAGAGGCAAAGGGTGCAAAAGCTTTTTGACATCTTCAGGGATAACATGGGCGCCGTGCAGGAAAGCAAGAAATTTTACAACAAATGTTACGAAAATTCTAGATCTCAAATCGTTTTCCGAACAGATATTTTCCGAACATTGACGTTGGGTGCCCCTGATGCACGGCCATGTAGGGCTATGTGGGGCTTATGGACAGCACGTACGGCTATGTACGGCCATACATGGCCGTGCACGCTATGGAACGACTGTATAAGGCTAGGTAGAGCTTATGTACGGTTATGTACGGCTATGTAGGGCTATGCACGGCTATGAACGGCATGGTACGGCTATGCAGGGCTATGCAGGGCTATGTACGGCTATGAAAGGCTATTTAGGGCTTATGTACGGCTATGCACTGCTATGTAAAGCTATGCATGGCTATGCACGGATATGTGCGGCCATGCTTGGCTATGCACGGCATGGTACGGTTGTGTAACACGATGTAGAGCTTATGTACGGCCATACACGGCTATTCACGGCTATTCACGGCTATGCACGGTTTTGTTCGGCTATAGGTAGGGCTATGCACGGCTTTGCACGGCTATGCGCGGTTATGTACGGTAATGTACGGCTTTGTACGGCCATGCATGGCTATGCACGGCATGGTACGGTTATTTAAGGCTATGCAAGGCTATGTAGAGCTTATGTACGGCTAAGCGTCGATATGAACGGCTGTGTACGGCGATGTACTGCTCTGCACGGCAATGCACGGTTATGTACGGCTATGTAGGGCTATGCAGGGCTTACGTACGGCTATGCGTGGCTATATACGGCCATACATGGCTATGCAGGGCATGGTACGGCCTTGTAAGGCTATGTGGAGCTTATGTAAGGCTATGCACAGCTATGCACGGCTATGTATCGTTATTCACGGCTATGTACGGCGGCTATGCAGGGCTATGTGAGGCTATGTGCGGCTATGTAGAGCCAGTATGTACAGCTACGTACGGCTATGTACGTCCATGTATAGCTATGCACGGCATGGTACGGTTGTTTAAGGCTATGTAGAACTTATGTACGGCTAAGCGTGGCTATAAACGGCTGTGTAGGGCGATGTACCGCTCTGCACGGCTATGCACGGTTATGTACGGCTATGAAGGGCTATGTAGGGCTATGTACGGCAATGTAGGGCTTAGGTACGCCTATGCGCGGCTATATATTGCTATGTAGGGCTACGCAGGTTTATTTAGGGCTATTTAAGGCTATTTGAGGCCGAAGGCCGAATTGGCTATTGACTCAGAGGCCATGAGGGGGAGACGAATAATTGTTTTAGTAAAATCCAAC